CCCTCCGTCAGCAATAACAGTCTGGACTCGACTCGACTAACCTTTCGGGCCTCCAGCTGAATAGACGTGGCAATGAAAAGCCAATTTAATAACAGGAGTTGATCAGAACAATTTGCATAGCGGGTCTGGAGCGGCGGGGGACAGGGGGCTTCCTGATTGATGCGGTCCACAAACAAAACAAACCGGCTCCGCTGTTTGCTTGGACGAAGAGCCTCTAAATTCTATAAAACAAACTTTTTCAGACATTTTCCCATCAGAGAACGGATACGTTTTTACTTATTTAATTTGTTCCCCTTACATATTGTTCATAATGGATATGAATTCCATAGACACCTAACTACATATAATCAGGCGTCGAAAACCTGGTCATTGTCATTTGTAAATACAGATTTCTTTTCAGGATCTACATGAGTGATAACCTCTGCATCCTTCCAGAATCACAACACTGACACTTCAAGACAAAATCTATCCAATTGTTCATATTAGCAGCTGCAGCTCTTTTGAACCTTCTCCCGGGTTCAGGCGTGTTTGTGAATGTTTCTGACCATTGTTCAAGAAGCGCAGTTGCGAGGTCAGACACTGGTGTTGGATGCCAGGGCCTAGGATGATCTCTGCTCTAATTCATCCCGAGACCCTCGCTTTCTGTGGCAGAACAAACCGAGGCAAACTCTGGTGTGAATACTGACCAGCCTCAATCCAAACCAAAACATACACGTCTCTTTGGACCTCATGAGCCACCGTAGCTGGGCATCATGGTTCTTCTTATGTAAACTTGTGTGCCATCTTGTCAAACTGTTTTCATAAAATTTGAACCTCAAGGTTCCCAACATGTAAGACAGATTAATTCACCTCAGTGTGTCGTTACGTTGAAGATCTTCTGCTGAGTCTAGGTCAGATTTCTACAGAATCAGGTTTAAATGAAAAACGTTAAAAAACCAACTCAAAACAGTTTAATACTTTATAAAATTCTGGATATGAAATAAAAAACCTTCCAAATTTTGCCATTCTGCTCATTCCTTTCAGGTGGCTAACTATCACAATTAATTTCCACCAAGACAGAGGCAACACGCAGCTTCGCGCTTCGGCCGTTCCTGTTAACAATTTTCCGTTTCCGTGCCGCTGAGCAGGCAGAAAATAGCTATTTGATTGCTGGTTATAAATGCTGCCCGTTAAGAGACGTGGAAAGTAATTTCGGCACTGTTGCATGAGGATGTTGGTGAAAATCACGGCTCTGTGCTCGCAAGGTTGTCTGGGAGAAGACACCTCAGAACAGCTGAATCTTGCCGGGTCATTTGTTGTATTGACATTTAAAATGAGTGTTTACAGGGTGGGACAGATGCGACAGAGACCTGCTAACCTGCTAACGCATCTGAAAACAGCTCTCCTCTGTTCCTGGGTGTGAAAATAAACTGAGCGCCGGGCTAAGAAAATGTTGTTTTTTTTATTTCAAGACTGAAGGTTTCATGATGATACAAGCATAAAGACATGACATTTCGAGAAAAAGAGAAAAAGTCGTAATTTTAGCAGAAAAAAGTCTAAATAAAATCAAAATCAATTTAGGACATTGCCAGAATAAAGTTTTACATTGGGACTTTGAAGTAATATATATGAGAACGTCACAACCCCCCCCCCCACCCAAAAAACCCCCAACTTAAATCATTAATGCTGAGAATCTTGTGAAGTTATTCTTTGGTATCAGTTTTACAAGTAAAAAAATTATGTTTTAACACAACAGCATCAAATTATTACCAGTAGCAGGATTTTGAAATGATTGAGTTTATTTAGAAGTCAGAACTGGACTGACGGAGCTCGACGGAATCTTTGTTCTCATTAAAAGAACTTTTTTCTTATAATTTTATGACTTTCTTCTGATAATGTCATGTCTTAAATTCTACTACTGACTTGACTGTCATAATATTATGAATTTATTCAGAAATAAATCTCTTAATCTGGTCCTGACACTCTTGTACAGCAATAACCTCAGGGATTACCCCTTTTTGTGCAGCCAAAACGTCTCTTAAGGTGCTACAAACTCATTGCTGAGTCATTTAAAGTCAGCAAATCTACAAAGAAAGACATTTCTAGGAGATTCTGGAGTCTTTCCAGGAGCGGATGACCTCCAGACAGACTGTACATTGGTCAAAGAAAATAAACACATGGCTCCATGACAGACTCTACAGACCTCGGTTAGCATCTTAAATGTTAACAATGACAGTTGGGTTAACTGCAGATCTGATGTTACAAGCTACAAGCTGCCAAATTATGAGGTATTACCTTGATTCTGTACGGCCATATTGACGCTGCAATATCTACAATGAACTGTTGACCAGTCATGATGTATCCGCTTGTGAAGACTAATCACCATCGTAGGGGAACGTTGTACCCACCATCTTATTTAAATATCTAAAGTTCTGAAGAAAGTTAAAGAATCTGATGTGTTTACACGTGATCCATGATGCTCTTTCCTTCCCTGGTTACTGGCTCACCATTACGTCCAACTATGTCAGCCGTTTGAAGCACTTGACACACACCAAGACGTTCTCAAGCTTCCACTTACACCAACCTTGCCCCCGTCCGCGTTGTACTCCTTCTCATCGGCATCCAGGAGCCGAGCCAAGCCGAAGTCGGTGATCTTGATGTGATTGGGGGACTTGACGAGCACGTTCCGAGCCGCCAGGTCTCTGTGGACTAACCGCCTTTCCTCCAGGTACATCATCCCCTGAGAGGCGGACAGAGACAGACAGAGAGACGATGAGGAATCCTATCGTGGAGCCATTTATCTTTTTAAATCTCAAGCCTAAGACCGCTGAAGCATTAAATGTCAGCACTAACATAAAATTATTGTCATAACTGTCATCAGCATTAACTTCACACCCATGCAGACATTTAGATTTGATGTATAATCGCTATAATACCTCATGTGCATGACTCTAAGCAGTTCAGAAGTGTCAGAAAGTTTATTCTCAAACCCGCAAACCACAAAGGGAAAGTTCTGTGAGCCTTTTCAATCCCCAAACAGGTCATGGGATTGTGGAGAGTGAAACATGTTTGCATTGTTTTCTTTAAATACCAGAGAAGGTTGGCGGTGCAGCGTGGGTTTGTTTAGATGAGCTTTTATGGATAATATCTAACAATTTTCCTATAGCCATACTATAGTTCAAATACTTCATAAACAGACTAAAAATTCAGGCTTCACCTGCAGGTGAACTTGCTCCTGTATTTTGGTACATTTGCCCAACAAAAATGAAGATTTGCGGAAATTCCCTGCTGTTTGATTCTCAGTACTGGACTCCTTATAATTACTTGCTCTTGTAATCACAAATGATCCAATCTTGCCTGAATCTCCATCGACCCAGACACTCTTGGGAGTGTGACACTTAAGCGGTGTTAAAGCAGAGCAATCAGCGGCACCGCCCCGACCTGGAGCGGCGGCTTGCCCCCACATCCTCCACCGGGACGCCGCTGTTTACCTCCCTAGGAGGCTGGAAATTAATTGGCTCCTTGAGCTGTTGTACATTCCCCTGCAGTCGGTGCGACGGCCTCACCTCATTGCCCCGTCACTTTAAGTCGAAGTGTATTAATGGGCTGTGTGGCCCATTGATTCCTAATTTCTCTCGACATCGACATCGGAGATAAATATTGCGTGGCACGCTCGTCTTTGGGCTTATTGTAATCAGCATTGTTATTGATCGCCTGAGAAGCAATCTATTTTAAACACACTTCCAGCCAGGCGGGGGTGTTGCCTGCAGCCCTGTCACAGCACATTGTGTCCTGGATCGGGAAATTCAGCCCAACAGCGAAGAGGAAGTGATCCAACTTGGTGGATAAAAGAGAGAACCATGCAAACAGACTGACAGATAGATATATTGCACATATGCCCTGGGAAAATGTCTTGCTCTTCAGCACTGGTGGTCTCTTGGATGTCCCTGTCATGTCGTGTGTGTGCGTGTGTATGTGTGTGTGTCACTCCCAGCAAGGCCGGAGGATGATGGATGAGGGCTCAGCTAGCGGTGAGTCAGACGTCGGCGCTATCGATTTATCCTCACATTCATCTGCGAGGAAAGGGGAGGCAGAGAGGGGCGGCGACCGCGTTGAGAATCGGCTTGGCTTGAGCGCCTCGACACAACAACAACACACGCATACACGTATTTACAGTTCCCCCAGCACACACACACACACACACACACACACACACACACACACACAGGAACACCTAAATGTTTCAAATGTCCGTTGATTCTCTGGCGCCAGCCGAGGCGTGGGCCTTGGTGTAAATTTTTCATTGTCTGCCTCGCTTCTCACCAAGGTGTTTTCATTGATCTACCAGCAAAGTGGCGTCCACTTGTTTAACATCCAGCTTAATACACTTCAATTGGCCTGGCCTTGCCTGCTTTGTTCGCCTCCCAGAGCAGCAGACACCGGAGTATATCATCATCTCAGAGAAACATCTCTGACGGGTGTTTTTGTTCTTCAGCGGCAGAACTTTGAACTGAATACAGGATCAGTTCCATGGAAGCGAATAGATTGGTCTGTCATAACGCCATCAAGTCTATTTAGCACATACAAAGACTGCTAGACAAAGATTTCTTTCTTTCTTCTGAAGGTTTTGCTGGTTTTATCTTTCATACATGTGTCTCTCATCCATAGGTTAGGCGTCCTAGCGGTAGATTCGGCGCTCTGCATGTCCAGGGTTCCATTCCTGACGAAAGCAGTATGACTCTCTCCGCCAAGGTTAAAAACATGCCAACCATAAGTAAGTCCACAGAAATGGTACAGTCCGTTCAAACTGTTCAGTTTCCAGGCATATAACCAAATGTAAAACAGATTCCAGAAATGTTCAAGAGACTTTGGGAAGGAAAATCAAGATCCCTTATGTTCTCCAGTTTAAGTCATCCAGCTTTTGATTCGATGTGAAGTCAAAGACGTTAGAAGATGGTTTGGGGAATTCAGTCTAAAACAACAGATCCCCATGTATTTTGACACTAATGCATTATTGTGAGCTTATTGCTAATTTTCTGCATAAATGGTCAAAAACATTGTGTTTAAGTGATGCTAACTTCCACCTGCAGGTGGCAGTGTTTCTTATTTCTACTCCACTGCTGCTTCAGCCTTAAAATAAATTACATTTATGTTCATGCAAACGTACGAATATTGTAAAATTCCTTGCAAATGGTACAAGGATCCCAAATACACAACAATAACTTTCTGGAACGGCTTTATCAAAACTCTGCCTTTTACCAGTAGTCACCAGTAAACTAGGTTATCTGACTCACCAGTGTTGGAAAACATACAAAAACAAAAAACATGACATTCATGTCCATTACAAGTGCATGTAAGCTTCCTATCACTACTGTAGCTTGTAGGGAAACTCTACAGTCTCTGTACTGTAATTTAATCTAAATGTATATTGGTCACTGTGCAGACTATTGCTTTCACAGTGATTTACAAGTGAACAGCAGAAGCATTATAGCTTCAGCACAGTAAGAAAGGCCGCTGTAAGCATTAAAAGCTAAATCTATTTAAAGGAAACAATGTGAGTGGAACAAGAGTAGAAGTGCACAGTCAGAGCAATGAGAGTTCAGGCAGGAAATGCTCTTGTCAGAGACGAGTCTTTGGAAGGTTTTTAATGCACCGAGGAGGAGAATATGTTCTAATGCTGTAAATTAGCTTTGTTTGGAGTCAAACTGAGTGGTCACCTGTGATGTGAGGGTTGAACATGTCGCTGTAATTCAAAACCATTATGGCATACAGTAGTAAGGCAATTCATTTGGAAGTGCGGACCAAATTAAAAGTATCGGTGTGGGGCCGAAAAGCATATTTTAAAGGTCGTGATGTGATCATGTGCAGAAGAAGTACAAACATCTAAGTCTCCCAAAACATTTAGAAACGTTCAGTTCAATGTGCTTTTTGGTGTTTTGAAACTATGATGATATAAACAGGATTGTTCCTTCTGTCAAACATTTGTGAACCTGAATAAAGAAACATACATAACGTTGGTGTTTAATGTAGCATTTTTATGAACCGCAAAGACAATTTTGAGTTTAAAGTTGTTACATGATGGTAGAAGTCCACCTTTTTACAGCTTAAAGATGGTAAGAAACTGACTGCAAATAAACTTTTGATTAAATCTAACATTTACAAATGTGAACTTTTTGACAATGAGGGACCCCAACACAAAATCCTGTGGTACTCCATGCTTAATAACTCTGTTGTAGCAGGATTAAGCATAACATGCAGATATCTAAATGGACCTGTTGCACCAATAATGCCATGTTAGTGGCTCTGATAGAGGATGCTCCACTCAACTGCAACAAATTAAGCCAATAATTTAGAATTAGATAAATCTATGTTAAAATTGTTTTCAATAAACAAGATTATGTTTGCTTGTTGTGCAACAAATTTTCTGTCAGAACAAGAAAAAAAAGCTTTGAACACAGCGGAGGTCAGCACAGGGACATCTTTGAGAGCCATGTTTTGCAGAAGAGCAGCAAAGTTAATGAGCAACCAGAGCGAAGGTCTCCAAACAGCACAGAGTCAATGATTCAGCCTCTCATAGCATGAAGGGCTAATCTACTAGCTTACAAAAAAAGATTTTTCTTCTGTCCAGAATTTTTTAGACTTTTGTAAAAAATTGGAATGGCAGTCAGAAAACCGGCCTGCAGAGAAACCAAAAGTTTTCAACTGATTCCATTTACAGTCAGGCAAGCTCTTCAGCACCTAAAATTCACTCCAGAAAACAACCCAAAGAAAGACTTCTGAATCTATAAAACAAATTACCACCAGGGCACCTTTTCTGGTGGATGCTCAACAGCTCAAAAATGCTACATTTTGTAAATAAAAACTTTTTATTTACTTGAAAACACTTTTTAAGTGTTTTTCCAGACAATTTAAAGTCATGCAAGTTAATTTTGTGTCCTTTAATATCATCCAGATCCTCTGGGTTTACGGTTTTAGCAGTTTGAACAGAACCTTATTCCACACTGAAAAAACAACATTATATTGCTAAAACTACTGGGTCATTACCTTCACATGTACACCAACTCTTTATCCGTCGGGTGAAAAATCATAAAATCTCTGGTTCATTTTGATGAATTTAAAAATAAAGCAGTTAAAAGTAAAAAATAAAAAATAAATAAATAAATAAATAAAGCACAAAAACTTTAGTTTTGAATTAAAGAAAAAAAATTGCCCGCAAATGATTTTCGGTTCAAAGCTCCAGTGCCATTTGATCTCTCTACTTATGTTTTGCTTTGTCCAATAAATACAAACGTAAACTTAGAAAGTGAGCCACTCTGAGGTTTAGAATGAACGCTTAGCCTAGCATTGCTTCAGCCATGCAGAGGCTCTTCTTTTACTTTTACATTATTAAATATTCACTTAAAAGTATGGCTGGGGTTATTATCTTTATTTTTCACATTAAAACCACAAAACCATCTGCATGAATGAGACATTTTCATTTAAGAAAATATGCATAATGGGTTGATGAGGATCTATCACAAGTGTGGAGTTCCTGCAAATAGAGAAAAAAGGATGAATGTTTAGGATTTTTCACTGATAGACAATATGGACTCATGTCAGGAAGACCACATGATTTTTAAATGTAATACCAGCTTTTAAAGAGGTTTGGTGTAGGATATTCACCAGTTATCTGCCATAAAAAGAAGGGAAAGTTGGGGAGTTTACAGCGGTTTATTCAGGCGCCTCGTTCTCAAATCAAAT